ACAGCTTCCTCACATTCGTCTATCGTGTAGTCCGATGTTGCATTTAGCGGTTGAGTTTCTAGAAATTCCGCCACACACGCAAATAAATGTGCCCATGATTAGGTCAAGTTGATCTGGACAAAGATGCCTTACGCAGTTAGCAAAATGACCATTAGAGGGTGACGTCTGTGTTCAATTTGGTCAAACTTGAAAATCATTTATGTAAAATCATTTTTAGGAAAGCTGCAAGGAGCCTTGCCTCAATCTACACCGTTTTGCATGACTGCTTGTTTTCTTGAATCTCTACAAAGCAGGTGAAGAGTTAGAAGTTAGCATGACCCCTAGAGCTGCACCAGGCACATTACTGAGAAACACAGCAGATGAAAATAATCAGGAATTATGTTTTGAGGGTCTTAGCAAACGGTCAGTTATTTACAAATCACATGAATCATTTGTGCACCACATATTTTTTTTTGCTTCATTATTCTGGTTTAACCTGTACAGTTTTTGCTGTCAATAAAAAAAAACAAAGCATTGTACCAACCATAACGGTTAATGAGTGGTTTGTCTACAAGTGTAATAGTACATCATTAAGCTGGCTACATGGATGGGACGCCTTTCCATCTTAGGTAACGCCCGAATAGCTTCTACAAAGACATCTTGAGGCATAAAACTAGTCAAAATTGTGTAGTGTAAAAAGTGCAAACAAATATTTACATTCTCACTGTTTTGCTTTTGTTTGTTACATTCCCAAATCATTTCTGCACATTTTCTCCATCGGCACAAACATGCAGAGTCTTGACTGATTTATGATTGAAGGAAATCAGGAGAGGGCTCAGATCGTTGGCTTTAAATGATGATTTATGCTTCATCGCTCAGTGGTACAATCAGTGTTCCTGTTGATGCGAGTGGTCATTTAAGCGGCACCTCAGTGGCGAGACGTGCTGCCGGAGCGGGAACGCTGGCTGCAGGTTCTGCAGCACTGCGACTGCACGTTGGGCAGGTGGCAGCGACCGAGCCAGCGGAGGGTCTGACAGAAACGAAACGTGAGTCGATCGCGAAGGCAGACTGCTCCTGTGAAGGCAACAGAGATGGAGAGGTTACATACACAAGGTTTGATTTATTACAGGATGAATCACAGGCAGAGAAAAGGCTGTCAGCACAAGACACGCTCTCACAGCGCAACACTGGCAGGTTCAACGCACAACGTTCTGGTGAGGATTCATTTCGAGCTCGTGGCTGCCAAATACCCTTCTGGTTTTTATTCTGGTTTGTTTTGTGCATTCTTTTGCAATTACAGACAACTCAACAACAAGCAGATATGATATAACCACAACCAGACAGCCTGAAACGGCAACGCAGCTCAAGAAGGGGGGAAAAAAAAGAGAGATAAAATCAGGCAAAACTCTGATTAAAAATTAGAAATGGTTCATCAGATTGGATTTTTTAATTTGCAGTTAATGGCTGTAAAATATACTTTGACCTTGATTAAAAATTCAGAAGAGATGTGATGATGAGAAAACGTGCACAAGAGCTCTTTAAGGAAGAAATGTGGTGATAAACTCAGCAAATCTCACCACCTCTGATTTTGTAAATGCTTTTCCTGGTATAAGATACAACACTGGATCCTGGAAAAAAACTGTATTCTGGGTTTATTTGATGCAACTTCTGTACTTCTTTGTCTATTTCTGTAAGTGGTCTCGCTGAGTGGAAATTCATTCATGAGCATTAACATTTACTTTCCCCCCTTGGTGACAAAGCGGGCCACATATGGAGGTTTAAATTATGTGGATAAAACAAATGCAGGCCATTATATTAAAAGAAATAGAAGCACAGCAAGAAGCACAACATTCACTCCGGTACATTTATGTGAATCAGAGTGCTTTAAGTTGATGAAGATACCATCAAAGACAGGACTTTGTTCCAAACGATTCACTAATCAGAATATTCATGATCAATTACAGTGACTTAGGGGTGAGCTCTTAATAAATCATGTAATGAAGCAGTATGGAAAATCAAACCATTTTTGGTCACTAGCATGTTTCCTCTGTATTGACTCAAGGCAAAAAAAACTTTGTGCAAACTTAATTTTAAAGTTTAGTCAAAGTTAATACGAGGCTTCGAGTCAAGTATGATTATGGGCTGTGTGACATGTGACTTTAACGTCATGCAAGAGATGTGAAAAGGTTTAGTTAATTCAATCTTACAGTATTACAATGTGAAACTCGTACTTTCATTTACGCCTTCGTGCCACAATTCATCAAGAACTCACTGCATCATCTGACGTCTCAAAAAGAATAACGTAGACGCAAGATTAATAACACGCACAGTCTGCAGGGCTGTGACTAATGATTACTTTCATGGTCGATTTATGCGTTGATTAGTTTCTTAATTATAAAAAATGTTTTTTGGTTCATAAAATGTCAGAAAATGGTAAATATGTTCATCACTGTTTCTCAAAGCCCAAGATGATGTCCTGAAATGTCTTGTTTTGTCCACAACTCAAAGATATTCAGTATTCTGTCACAGAGGAGGAAAGAAACCAGAAAGCTGGAATAAAGGATTTTAGTCTTTGAAAACAAATCAAATTAATTCATCAATTATCAGAATAGTTTATAAGTTAATAATTTACATCTAATCAATTAATCAATGGAGCAGGACAGGAAGAAAACACAAACTATCACCTGCTGCTAAGAGACAACTGGTCAGGATGGTCAAGAGTCAACCATGAGTCACCAAAAAAGCAGATCTGCAATGAATTAGAAGCTGCTGGAACTCAGGTGTCAGCGTCCACAGTCGAGTGTGTTTTACATCCCAATGAGCTGTGAGGCTGCCATGCATGAAGGAAGGTCTTCCTCCACAAGCAGCACCTTAAGGCTCAACTACAGTTTGCTGCTAATCACACGGACACAAAAAAAGGCCTTCTGGAAGAAAGTTCTGTGTTAAATGAAACAAAAACTGAGATATTTGGCCACAATGACCAGAAATATCATCAGCCAGAAGGTTGAGCCTTGGATGCAGTTGGGTGTTACAAGACAATGAACCCAAACACACACCAAAAGTCGTGAAGGAATGGATACATCAGGCTAGAGTTTAGACTGGCCTCCCCAAAGTTCTGATTTAAAACCATCAAGACTCCGTAGGCTGTGTCAGAACAGCCAACTAATTTAGTTGAATTGCACCAATTCTGTCAAGAGGAGGGTCAAAGATACAACCAGAGGCTTGTGGTTGTTTTGCCCAAAGTGCTTAGCTGAGGTGAAAATGGCCAAAGAACATTTAACCAAATATTATCTTTGCTGTATGCATATTTTTGACCCCAAAAGAAGACTTACAGTAAATCAATTAGAGAACCAAAATGCATGATTGCTTTTTGAGACAAAGATGTGTTTCAGTAATTCCATTATGCAACATTCAGACTTGTAGGAGTCACTGGCTGCCGTGATACACACCGTCTTATGTGTAAACTTTTGTTCTCAACTTCACAAGTACTGTTTCCAGATAGACTAAAAAACGTGAAACTATCTTGTAAATTGCAATTCGCACAAAGTCTAACGCTCGTCTCCAGCAGTTCCCTATTAGGCACAAATCAAGTATGAAGTTCAGGTTTTCGCCTCGGAGGCAGATGATCGATAAGGACAACAACACATCCTCTTCTCCTGCAAAAATTAACCTCCGCCTTTTTCTTTCCAACCCTTTGCCTCAGAATGTCTTGAACCAATTACCAAGAAAGTGCAAGCGGTGCAGTGTAATGCGTTTTGAAAAGTAGCTGATGGATTTTCTACCGCTTTCGCACAAAGTGAACGGACATGGAAATGATAGAACTCATCGAAACTCACTGTAAGAAGGCGACTACAAAAATGCCATTTACACTCGGTAATGTATCCGTCAATCAGAAAACATTTGTCTGCTGCGTGCACTTTTCAAATCTCAGCACTTAACGGAAGCGTGAAATTGAAAAACCAGGCCAGACAGCGATATGTGCACAGGCTGTTATTTGAATCATTACACTTCATCAGGCCTTCGGTGTTTCGGAGCCCAGTAGTGCTGCTGTGTTCACTTCATTGTCTTCTCATGTGGGAGCACACCTTAGGGGGCAGGGGGCCAAGTTTGTTTCACCACCTGTCCTCCTGTTTCCTACAAGTGGAGGTAGAAAAAACAAAAACCCACGCCTTCCTGTTGGGTTCTCAGTTTGGGTTAAGTAACAGCTAATGGCTTCAACAGGTGATTTAAGTGCGACAGGTCAGCAATAAACGTCCTGCAAACTGGGATGTTGTGTGTTTATGTGCGTAGGCCGGCGACAGCTGCTCATTTCAGGAGAAACACTTCCTCAGAGCGCCGCAAACTCTCCAAATCGAGATCAATCCATACTTCTCAAGTGTTTTTACAGTCTGAATATGCAGTGTGACATTATCTTATCAGATGAGTTTATTTAAATGCTTTTGTATGTAAATCGGGAGTCCAGGAGGGGTGTAAGTGTCACAGATAGCAGATGGCTGATGTTGAAGCATCTGTTTTATAGGAGATACTAAAAAGGAAACACTTAAATTGACAGAGTTTTAAAAAGTCCTCAACTGTAAACATATTTTTCAGACATCTGGTCGTTTTGTACAAACTCACAATTTAAGGGTGGTGCTGGAGGTAAAGGCTAAAAATCAAATAATGACGGTTCATCCTCTGAGGACAAGGATTATTCACAGCACGTTGAACAATATCATATTTGGAAGAAAGTGTTGGACAAATAAAAGAGTATCTTCCAAATAATCAGTATTTTCATACATTTTAATTTAAGAATATTTCACTTTTTTAAAAAATGATTTACATTAAAGTGAGCTCTGAGTGGCAATGGGGAAGTTTGGGAGTGTTCCCAGTGCAACAGTCCTGGTGTTTTTTCCTGATTCCTGTGGTTAAAAGTCTAGAGCTCAACAGGTAATTTCAGCTGCAGCAGCTGGTGAAATCAGTAATACGAGGGAGGGAGCAGCTTCCATCAAAACTGAATGTATTTAGCACTCAGGCAGTAAATATATGGGTATACAACACTCTGACAGCTCTGAAACATGGATAAAATGAGAAAACCTGCAGCCGGCGGTGCAGAGAAGGAACCAACCTAAGAAAAAGGCTTCACTGGCTGAAGTATGCAAAGATATGTACGGATATATTTAGGCTGGTGCTTTGTCATGCTTACATGCTCTGTGCAGTAAACGAGCTAAATGGACGAAGTATATTGAGGGTTTGACTGTTTCCAAGATTTAACTGTCAGATTAAAAGCACAGACATTTAGGAAAGTTTACTCTAAATGTCTCTGAAGTGTTTAAAGAAAATGGTTGGAATCTTTCTAAATGTGTCAAATCAGCGAGTACGTTTGTTCATTTTCTTCTAGACAACTCATCAAGTCTTTTACACATGATCGCCTATAAAGAACTGGATCCTTGTGAGACAGTGCAGCAATAAAAATGATTTTTTAAAACACTTTTCTACACAAGTCTCTACAGTTTAATCAGATCCAACTAGAGGTGCACTTGTTTGTTCTTCTAAGACGACGAAGTAAACTAGAGCCCATCATTCATATGATCAGGTTGGACTTCACTCCAGTTATTGTTGCTTTACAATAAATGGAATGAATGTCAAGTATGTTGCAATGTGGCAAATAATTCAGATAATAAAACCAGGCTAATTAAAGGTCACATTAGGTGTCAGCTAGTCATTACATTATAATTCAACGTTTCGCTTTTTGCACTCAAACATCAGGAAGAACTCCTTCACTGCAACAAGTTACCAATGTTGTTTACTTCAATAGTTCATTTATAATAATCTGATTTAATTTAGGTTAAGGTCAATAACTTATTACAGTAATCTACAATAATATATGAGGTAATACTTCAACATAATAAACTGTATTTATTGTGTTGCCACTGTAATCAACATTAACTGTAACTCTAGCTACCTGTAAATCATAACACTGTGTTCTTTAAAAAGGGGAACACTGCTGGAAACTACAGAAATATACTGTAAAGAAAGATTTTCTTCAATATTTCTGATATAAAACTAAGACCTATTAACTCTGCTTAAAACTTAAA